TAATTTCATTAGCTCTAATCCTCACTAAAAATAATAGCCAGCTGTCACGGAGGGCACTATGTTAAGAGCTTTTTGTGCATTATCTCATTAAGCTTTACAACTAACTGTACAAAATGAAGCTACTGTGATCGTGACCATTTTAGAAATAAGAAACCAAGACTTAGAAAGTTATAGTAACTTATTCCAAATTAAACGACTAGTAAGCAGATCTGAACTTTGTACTCAGGACTGATTGTCTATAAAGTCAATGGCTTTCAGGTCTTATACTACATGCTGCTTGCTAGCCACTTATTAACATTTTTAATGATCTATGGCCTTAGCCTCAACATAAAAATTTGCCAGTCATTTATCTTACAAATGTACATTAAGTTGGTGGAAGTACCTTACTTCTATTGGGAAAAAAACTAACAAATCTTAAAAAAAAAAGAGTCCTCCCAAATGAGGCATTATATTAATGAGAAAAGAGACTACATTATTAGAAGAAATGTAATATCTCCTATATTTAGAATGGAATTTTGTGGTCTGAGCTACTTTTTATATATTGATAAAGTGTCTGCTGTTATAAAACCACATTATAGAATCTGAAGGTTAGGAGGGACATTCAAGTTTGAAGAATTTTCAATAGCTTCTCAACAAGGGGTGGCCCACCTTCTGCTTAAGACCTTTCAATGGGTGCAACTTTTAGAACAATGGGGGTTGACTGACCGGGGTGGGGAGAGCACACAGGATGTTTGCTGCTGGCTAAAGACATGAAGGTGCCACCTGGAGGCTGCTTAGTCACTTTTGTCTGAATGTAGCAAATACAGTGTTAAGCTGGAGGCTGCGACTATTGGTACCAGTGAGCTTTTGCTGCCTAACCTTGCTCAACCCCCATGGCTTACAATGCATAGCTTGAGTGTCAGTGGTGAATTCAAGATGGCCACAGATTATTGGTTATACCTCTGCCCTGAAAAGTGGAGTCTTTGACCTTCCCTTGGAGTCTGTCTGGCCTCTGTGACTAACAGAATTCACTAGAAGTGTTACTGTGCCAGTTCTCAGATACAGCCTAAAGAGATCGGCAGCTTCCATGTTCTTGCAACAGTCTTTGGGAGTCCTGAGGCATGACTGAAGAAATATGACTATCTTGAGACTGGCATGCTAGAGAGACTATGTCACTTCTTTCAAAGCACTGGATCTGTAGTTAAGCCTCTCCAGACTAGCCCATGCACCAGCTGAATACTACTGAGTGACCTTAGTTGATGTCTCATGAAGCAGAAGGATGACTTAACTGATCCAGAAAAACTCCTGACCAATGAAATGGTTATTTTTAGGTCACTGAGTTTGAGGTGCTTTGTTACACAGCAATACATAACTGGAAAGTGTCTGTGGGATAGGTGAGTAGTGTCTAATCTACATTGGCCTCAGCTGGTCTCACCTAGGCTTACTCATGTGTCCCTGGGTCAGTTGGGAACCCTCATCTAGACTGTGTTTGGCTAGGGTGCTTACTTGGGATAGCCATGTGTCTCTTATCTTCCTTTGGACCAGTAAGCTAAGCCATGCATATTGTTCGCATGGCAATGGCCAAAGTCCAAGACAGCAAGTTGAAACACGTAAGGGCTCTTGAGACCTAGGCTTGGAAATGGCACCTTGTCATGTCCATCTCATTCTATTGACCAAAGTCACATGGCTAAACTCCAAGTCAAGGGATTGGAGTATAGACCTCATTTCTTTTGTGGGAGACTGCAAAATCCATCTATCGAAGAGTGTGAGTATAGGTAAGGGTAAAAATGGGAGACAATAATGCAGTCATTTACTTCATTTTTGTTCAGCAAATATTTATGGGTTGTATTATTTGCAAATATTATGCTAGTCACTGGAACACAAAAAAAGGAGACCTAACTTCCTGTTCTTTAAATGCTTACAGTCTAGGCAACCTTTAGGATGAGGAGAAGGGCTTACCCTATTTAGGTTGATTGGGGACCTAAACTTCCTTTTAGTTCTTTACTTCTAACCCCTATGTCAAGGTTTATATCTGCATTAAACTTCAGACTTAGCATTTGAGTTATGTTTTATTGTTTTAGTGACTTAAAATTTGGTTGAGTGATGGAATTTTTGTTTGTATGTTTTTACATAAACATGAAACATTTTTCAGTTAAAAATTAATGCTATATATACACTGTCAGTCAGGTTACTGCCAAGATTTGCTCCACTGTTTATCAAAAAACTTCATGCTTTCTTCATCTCCAAATTCTTGGGGAGCCACATCATGGTCTTAAAGTACTGAGTTTTTTCCTTTAACATCCATATTTAGATGGGAAGCAGGAAGCCATGATGAAAAACCACATATATGAGGACTAAGCACACCCCAAATTTGGATGCTGAACTACATATTGGTTGCTAACCTAATATTGGTTAGTTCTGTTTATTCCTTGCTGTAGTCTCCTGTTCTCTTGTCAAAGGTGCTATGTTCCCTCTATAACTATGTCTGTATGTTCTACTGTCAGAGGCAGACTTCTCATCTCTCCTCTTCTTCATGTCCCCCATTTTTAGGTTCTTGTTTCCTGTCTGTGGGAAACCACTTTCTCCCATTGAAGGGTCTGGAGTTGAGCTCCATAAAGTGTCCAACTCAGTTCCTTCTGCAGCATCTCTGATCACTCCTTAATCCCAGCCAGCATGTAGAAGATGCATGGGATGACTTTGGAGTCAAATGGATCTAGGTTCTAACCCCAGCTCCACTGCTTACTAATACTGTGATCTTGTGCAAGCTACTTAATCTCTCTGTGCCTCAGTTTTATAATCCATTATATAGGCAAAGTAAATCCTATCATGCATGGTTTGTGTGTGACGTAATTGCAATAACAATTACAAAGTGCTTGCACAATGCCTGCCGTGTTCTCAATGTTAGTTTCCTTTCTCTCCCTGTCTCAACATCTCTCTCTTATTTGCCACCTCAGGACTGGTTTATTTAGAGGTTATCACAAGATGTTTTTTGGATCAAAAATACCTGTATGCATAGACTAGTAACAGTTATGTTTTTGTATGACTTCATTTGTTTAAGAAATCATAAGCAACGTCTTAGGGCATTAACACTCGGCATTCTGCAAACTCAAATTCTTACTGCAAAGTGGCGAGGAAATGAAAGTTACCAATATTTCACTTTGAGTACTTTGCATGTTGGATATTTGCTTCATTTTGATGTTTATTGCAGACAAGGTCCTTAGAGATTGGGCTGGGTTTTACTTTCCTTTATATTCTACGACCCACTGTAGGACCTGATACCTCTTAGATGCTCAAACAAATGTTTGTTGAATAAATAAATGTTTCATTGAATGCAATTGGATGCACTAATGAAAGTTTAATTCTTTTATGTGGAAACAGAATATTTCTGTTGTCTAATTTTTGTTGGGGCTTCCCTTGGCTGATGGATGCAGAGTAACCATGATTTCCGTGCTCGCTCTTGCAAGGGTGAGGGTAGCGAGTGTGCGGGCTCTGGACTGGGGAATGCCGTGTGCTCGTCTGCCCTTCATACTCTCCTCTTCGCCTTTGCTGCTGATCCTCTTTCCTCCGAGACTGTAAACTCCCTGAGGGCAGAGACCGTGGCTTTGGTTTGGTCACTATATAGATAATTATTCAATGCTTGTGGCATTGTTAATATTCAGTAAATCGTGGTTGAAGAAAAGTTAGCATTTTTTAAATTTTTATCGGATTTTAGAAATGCAGTATTCTGTCTTTGTCCTTTCTCATCTGTTCTGATTTATGCCGGTCTTCTCCATAGCTCCTCCATTGATTCTACCCTTGGATTTATTGTTTTTTAATCTTATCCTTATAAATGCCACATGATTTGTGGGAAAGGATTGAGGCTTTGAAATTAAAAAGACCCAGATTTAAGTTCTGAATTTATAACTCACTGGTCGTGTGATCTTGAGCGAGATATGTAACCTCTTGGTGCCAGTTTTCTCACCCGTGAAGGTGAAGGATAATGTGTCATCTACCTGGCAGAACCGTTTTGAAAACTGAGTGGATTGATGGATGTCAGGCACCCACTCATAGTAGGGGCTCTATAAATAGTAGGTGTTATCATTAACCGTATTTCCTTTCTCTTTGCTCTTTTACCATTTATCCTAACTACTACTTCCTTTTCCAGTGAAAAAAACCATCCATTTTTAACCCTGGCTCTCCTGTTAGCAGCCATTAGAATGCTGGGACTTGCTGGGGAACAAAATTCCAGTTCACTTTGAATATTGATAAAAGCCCTAATGAGAATAACCACCATTTGCCCCATTAAAAGTAACACAAAGACGAATGTGAGTTATCAGCAAAAAAACCTCTTCAAAGTATAAAGCAAAGACTTGGAGAATTAAATGACATGTGAAGAATCTAAGAACATAGCATGTATTCAAATTTATGATTTTTTTAATTCACTCACTTGCTCTCTCCATTTATTACAATGGAGTCTAAAATTTTGCTTTCACAACAGGATCATTATCCCTAGTAAATTTAAGAACTATTTCGCTCATATTTTTCTTGAAATAATTGAGTTTGCTAGAATAAACTATTCAGCTCAATACTTTTCACCTTTCTCCAATACAAATGTATTTGATTTCTATAAATCTGAGTGAGGTCAGTCAGGAAATTATACATATTTGTTTTCCACAGGGTATCTGAGCTGTTAAATCATGTTGCGTTTATTGTAGATCATGTTTGCTATTTGGCAAGATAATATAAATGACTAATAACAATGTTTTAGAACATGTAATACAAGGAAAACAACCGGAAAGAAGAATTGAAGCAAGATGTTCCTTATAATAAATACTTTAAGTAAATAAAATAATGTTGCTAATGAAGCACACATTTGCATATAAAACACATACAAATATTATTCAATATCATACATGATCTTTATTCTTATGGTTCATATATATACATGTATTTCTCTCACATAAGTATATGTTTATATTACTTTTCATTTGGATCTCGTGTAATTTGTATATATATTCTCATTCTTTCTTCCAGCCTCAATTATGTGGATGTTTTCTTGGTTTTGTGTTATTTTAATTCTGTTGGCTATTGCTGGTATGGACACAATATCAAAAACCACACCCTATATCAAGTTTACGAAGAAATCTGGGGGAAAAGAGACGCGGAAGGATGTAAAGCCATCTGGAGGCCTGCCTCCAGCAGAAGAAGGAACGCCCTTCACAAGAGGGGCTGACATGGCCGAACCGACCCCTGACCCCTCAGGCCAAGCGTCTACCTTTGGCACTGCCACGTCCTTCCCCTTTGCCAACTTCACCCTCCACTCGGCGGATTTCTTTTTGAACTGCTGTGACTGTTGTGCGTCAGTACCAGGGCAGAAAGGAGAACCCGGAGAGACTGGAAATCCAGGTATTTGAAAATACGTGACGCCACAGTTCTCCCCTGTACATCTGTAGAGTTGAGAGGTGGATTGGAGGTGGAATTGTCCCGGGGGTTGCTACGTTGTCGTGAAAACTGCCATCGTAACATTGTGACAACTGCGAATGGGTCCTGTGTGGCCCCAAGTGGTAGCCACTAATGTTGTGCATGGCTGTTAATAAACTAAAAATTAAATAAGATTAAAAATTCAGTGGCTTAGTCACACGAGCCACATTTCAAGTGCTCAGTAGTCACAGGTGGCCCGTGGTTATTCTCTTGGGCAGCACAGCTTACAGCATCTCCATCATTGCAGGAACTTCCACTGGACGATGCTGGTTAGAGCAGAGACCCCAGCAGTGGGGTGTAGCTCTTGACGTTACACATGTGCACCACCGGTACAATCTTTCCGTTAATGCCGATGTAAAGAGGGAAGATGAAAATCCTGTTATCGCATCAGACTATGTGCTGACTGACGGATTTTTGGGGTGCTATTTGTAGTTAGGATTAGAAATGGAATGCCTGTGAGGTGGAGAATAAAGCCAGGATTCCGTTTGCTTCTCATTGAGATTCTGAGTCAACGCTGTGTTCTCGCCCAGCAGTTTTCTCCATTGAACGTCATGGTTACATATTTCAAAATCTCAGAGGTCTTTCATACATACATTATGAATACACTCCCAGTCTTATTGTACTATATTCCAGCTTTTGCATGTTGTATAACAGAGGATTCAAGATAAAAAAGAGATCAGAATGCCAATGGCAAATTCACTATTCTCCGAAAAATATTACATATAAATATTTGTTGTGTCTTACTTGAAGAATTTAAAGTTATAAAATCAGGAATTATACATCCTCATTAAGCTTTTCATTCATTTCATCTCATTGTAGGAACCTTTTGGAAAATGTTTTCAATGTTTATGTAGAGCTGAATGAGAGGGTCAAGGAGCTGGGCAGTGATCCGGGCACCAAAAGTTCAGGGTTGCTAAAACATTATTGGAAATATAATGAGAGTGAGAAAATTATATTCATCAGAATTTCTCTTACTATCATATCTGGTTGGCAAACTGCTCGTGAGTGAAAATGCCCAAGGGCATGCATGGTCAAGTAAACACAGCTGGTTGCTAACTCTCTTCTAATGCTGTGGGTCTGTAACCTCAAGGCTGCGGCTTACCCAGTGGTGGATTTAACTGCTTTGTTCTGAGCTCAGCCTCTCCTGTAAATACATATGACAAATACTCCGAAGGTGTGCCAAGTCATTAGCTTGCCCAGGACCCTCATGTGTCTTAGTCTGACGGGCTCTGCAAAGAGCTGAGTGCTTAGCAGCTCAGCATGTTGAGTCCATCATGGTCCTACCGCGGGGAAACTTCATTACTTCTCCGAGGCTCGGTTTCCAAAATAGTGAAATGGGGTAAGAATAATCTCAACTCCACAGAGTCATCAAGACAACTGAATGAGTTTATATGTATAAGGACTCAGTGTGGTACCTGGAATAGAGTAAGTGCTCAACATACTGTGTTTATTTTTTCACTTAGCTGTAGTATGAGTGTTTTCCTACCTTGTGAAATACTTTGAGCCTGATAGGATCCTGTTTTTGAGATTGCTAAAGAAATGTTTATTTTTGATTTATCAGTATTTAAAAAACAACAGTTTTTTGTTTTTTTTTAAATTAGAAATCTAGTATAAGAGCATCATTAACTAAACTTGAAAATAAAAATAAACCTATTCAAATCCTAATTTGTTCATTGGGTCTTAGCTTATGCCATTTTATTAAGGATATCTCCTCTGATTTTTTACACCACTAACTACAGGGTAGCAATTTCTAGTTATTGGTGTGGTTATTTGTTCAATGTTTATCTTTCATGGATTCAGTTCCATGAGGTTAGGGACTATTGGAATTTTTTATGTTTTTGTATGAATCTTTAAAAATATTATAGTCGACATACAGTATTATTTTGGTTTCAACATAGTGATTCAACATTTATATACCTTATGATGTGATCAGCATGTAAGTTTGGAAACCATCTGTCATTGTACGTAGCTACATTGTTGATTATATTCTGTAGCTAGACATTATATTTCCATAATTTATTTTATAAACAAAAGCTTATACTTTGTAATCCCCTTCCCTTTCACCCCTTCCTTCACCCCCACCCCCCTTGCAACCACCAGTTTGTTCTAGGGACTCCTGAAATGTTGATGGTGAATTCCTAGCACTTAGTGGGGTATTGGCTTATAGATAGCCTCAGCAGTACCTCCTGACTGAATGCGTGCGTGAAGGAGTGGGAAAACCCAAAGCGCTAGGCATTGTGGTTACCACTCCCGATCTGAAAGTGTGGTCCGCGTGCGGTGAGAGGTCGGGTGGTCATTCTGCGCTTGTCTGATACAACACCGCTTCCCTGAACCATTAGATCACTGCCGCAAAGCCAGCGGTAAGTACCAATGTGCTCAATTTATCTACTCGGGTAGCACAAAACTGCAAATCAGACAAACATGCTGTCCTTAGAACACGCTCCTAGTTTATCCTCACTCAGATTTTATAATTAGGACACTAACAGTCACTAGTTTTATTTTAATGACTGCTTTTCCCATTGAACTAATTAATTTTTAAAGATAATTTAAAAAAATCTTGATGGCTTTAAATGTTCATTTCTAGGTCCTAAGGGAAGGGTTGGTGATGTGGGGATCCCAGGGCCACCAGGAGTCATTGGACCCCAAGGTCCAAAAGGCCAGAAAGGAGAGAAAGGTAGGTAATTATGTTCATTTCATATCGAAACTCAGGGATGTTCTGCATCATTTTTAGGAGAGCGATTTGCAGATTCTTGTAGGAGCGTCCATTTAAAAAAAAGTAAAATTTTGTTAAGGATATGGTGAGTTATATTTGACATAAAAATCTTAACTTTATAAGTAGCCAATTGAAAAATTTTAAACTTGCCTTGTAACGTCTCTCTCTCTCTCTCTCTCTCTCTCTCTCTCACACACACACACATCTTTTCTCTCTCTCATTGGCCTCCCAGCTGACCCAGTGACTGGGCATCATCTCTGGGGAAGGGTCCTTCCCCATCTACTCCCATGTGAGCTCTTCCTCATGATACAAATGAACTTCCTGCCAGGTGGGACTAACTAGAGCAGGCAATCCTGCCCCACTCAGGAGGACAGCCTGCCCGCTGAGGAGAACATGGCATCCCCTGGCTCACACTCAAATCAGGGGCAGTGTCAATGGTGAGAAGAGAATTGAGTTCAAGTGGAAGAAATCAAGCACATAATAGTGACCACTTTACCTCATCTGAAAATTGAGGGGAATAGACTAGGTATTTATTTATACCCTGTTTACTTTCAAAAAAAGATTTGTAGTTACGCGTGCTTTCATAGATCTTTTCCAGCTCAAAAATTCCGTAATTCCACAGATATCAGTAAAGAGGGCATTCTGCCTGGAAAACCCCTGTTTCTGTAAGTGCCTCAAGGGATTGAGGGAAGGTCACAGATTCACTGGGACATCAGAAATTCCCCCGCGAATGCCGCCAGCCTGTAGAAATACCATCTATCCATCAAGTTAAATATTTTAGCCTCAGTGTCACACGTCAAAAGACCTAATATCATCTATACATCACCCTCCACACGGCCCAGGAACTGCCTAACTCATTTCTAGTAGAACGTTCAGTGAAGTAATTACTCAGAAAAGATGCTAAGGTAAGAGAGAGCGACTTCACGCTTGTCAGCTATGCGGTTTCCATTCTCAGAAACATTTAATCCTTTTGTGGCTGAATTATGTTAGCAGAAAACCCTGTGAAATAAAGATGAGTTATGAACCTCCCCAGTGATTCATACATTTTGGGAGCTAGACTTCTGGAAGTAGAAGAAAAAACAGGGAAGTATCATAAGATAAGGCTCTTAAGAATATGCTTTGATGAAAGATCAAAAGTAGGAATTCATTCAGCCAGTCTACAGCATGGCAACTCCACTTCCCTTTTACTTCCAGACTTAGTCTGGACTCTTAGTTAAGATCTAAAGTTGAAAAAAAAAAAAATTAGCTTGAATGACTGCATTCTGGCCAATCACAGCCTGGTTGAGTAAATTCAGAGTAAGCAGTGAAAATGCTGAAATGAACTTGACAACCAGAATCACTGCAGTAAAGGTCAGTCTATGAGCATTGACGAGGACTGGGGATAAAACTGGCCCCTCACTGCCTGGGCCGGTTTGGCTCAGTGGTTAGAGCATTGGCCTGCGGTCTGGAGAGACCCGGGTTCGATTTCCGCTAAGGGCACATACCTTGGTTGCAGTTTGTCCCCGGCCCTGGTTGGATCGTGCGGGAGGCAGCCACTTGATGTGTCCCTTTCATATCGATGTTTCTTTCTCTCTCTCTCTCTTCTTCTCTTGCCCTCCCACTTTATCTGAACATAAAATGGAAAAATGTCCTGGGGTGAGGATATAAAAACAAACAAACAAACAAACAAACAAACAAAAAAAACTGGCCCCTTATTCCATTCAGGACTGGATTCTCTCCAAATGCATACATATGTTCCTGATGGCCTAAGGGTTAATTTCCAAATTTTTAAATTTTATGTGGAGTGGTAATGGAGGAGTTAACTGCTTAGAAAACTCTGCTAAATGGCTTAGGGTAAGATTTCTGTAGTTGCTCTGGTAAAATTTAGGGGAGTCTCCTCTCATGACTTTTAATTTGATTTAGGATTATTTTCCTGACAATAATGAAACAAAAGAAATCTTAGTTATATATAAATAATGTGGTTGGTACATCAAGGCCAACCAATATGCAGTCATGTTAGACTCTGTACAAATTTCTAAACTTTTTGTAGTTCTACTTCTTTTGTGACAAAAGTGGTGACAAAGTATCAGTCCTACTGTCCTTGAAGGGAGACACTATAAACTTTCTTAAATGGAAAGTGTTTTAACTGGTGAAACGTGCTCTGTTATATAAGCCTCCCTGTTATATGAGAGGCTGTATTAATATCAAATAAAAAATAACATGAAATTCAAAAGGCTGGATTAAACTATAAAAATCACTTGAAGGGCTTGGAATATTCCCTGGTGGGACTGGATCGGTAAATTAGCTATTATTGTTGCTATTATTATTTACAATGAAATCGGCTAGTGTAGCAGCCCTCCAACAGGGTGTGACATCAGTCCGGCCCAGTATAAAAATCCATTTTGTGGTAATATGGCAGATATATAGAAACCCAGATTAAACATTATTTTTCAGACACGATTTCTCACCGCTCTATAATTTGTCCAAAGAGTATATGCATTTTTTTCCTGAACAAAATAAAAATTGGCTTTCCTTGATGCTCTATGTCAAGGACAGTAGATCTTCCCTGGATGGGCTTTGCTGTGACCAGCTGTACCCAGAGGCAGAATGCCGGGCTCGGGGTGACACCTACACAGTGTACACAGGCAGTGGGGGATAAAGGAGAGGACATTTTAACTGTAACTCAGAATTCATAATAGGAAAACCACATACATCTGTAACACAAGGCAGGCTCTGGGAACACGAGGGAAAAGCTGAGTTCTGTCTGGAGAGAGTGACACTACCCCCGAATCTCTTTTAAATAACTTACCATCAACTGGAATAAAATATTTACAATGATGCTCAATAACCTTCTCCCGTATTGTTTTACTTTATTATTTTTTAATTGAATCTATTGGGGTGACATTGGTTAATAAAATTATATAGGTTTCAGGTGTATAATTCTATAATGCATCATCTGTATATTATATTGTGCGTTCACCACCCCAACCTATTGTTTTACTTGTACACATTTTGTAAAGGAAGCGTTGGAATGTGACATGGATGTTAGTTTTATCATAACTAATGTAACTGGAAGAAAGTTAACCTTGGCATCATTTTAGGACTTAAGGGAGAACGTGGGGACCAGGGAGCAAGTGGAGTTCCGGGCTACCCAGGGAAACACGGAGAACCAGGTCGAGTATGAACTACCTGCTGTAGAGCATACACCGTGTCGTGGGCGCAGTACCGCCCCTGGCTTGCTTCCTGTTCGGGTTCACCCGGGGGAGAGAGCTGGGCTGGGCATCTGGACTAGGCAGAGGTGTCTGAGCTCTGTTCCTGTCTCTGGATGTCTGAGAAAAGGCCCCTGGATCTTTCTGGGTTTCACTTTCTCTGCCTGAAGGACAATATAGAGATTCAGGAGAAGACTTGGGTTGGGCCAAAATGCAAGTGTAATGGACTAAAATGGGCCACTATGGTTTTACTACATTTTATAATCTTAAAAGTACAAAAACAAACAAACAAACAAACAAAAAAAAACCAGAAAGAAAAGGAACTAGGTCCATGAGACCAAAACCTAGGCTGCCCCTTCCTGGTGGCGTGAACGCCTCCCCTCAGGAGACAGATGCTGACTGCAGGCGCGGTGAGGGTCTCCGCAGCCAGGGCGCAGGCCAGGCCGGTTTCCAGCCCCGCTCGCTTCTAGTTGTGAGCTCTGTAAGCATAGCATATTGTTCATAGCCTACGTGCTCCTTAAACATGATTTTAATTTTCCATTTCAGGTGGACAGGGTCCTAAAGGGGACAGAGGAGATACTGGACTGGCGGGAGAGAAAGGACAAAAAGGCTCGAAGGGGGACACACTGGTAAACGCCACCAAAGGAGACAAAGGGGCCCGAGGGGCTGTGGGCTCTCCGGGCTTGAACGGAGAGCCTGGGGCCAAGGGGGAGAAGGGGGAGAAGGGGGAGAGGGGGGAGAGGGGCTTCCGTGGAAACCCTGGGGAGAGGGGAGGCCAGGGGCAAAAGGGTGAGGTGGGGATGAAAGGAGACAAAGGTAGCAAAGGGGGTACAGGGATGGAAGGCAAAAGCGGCCCAGAGGGCTTGCCTGGAGCCCGAGGGGATCCAGGGGCTAAAGGAGAAAGGGGAGCATCAGGTCCTCCTGGTCCGGTGGGGCCTGTGGGGCCAAAGGGTGAGCTCGGGAGCAAAGGAGCCCGAGGATCTATTGGGAAGAAGGGCTCTCGGGGCCTCAAAGGCTCCAAGGGGGACAGTCCCAGAGTCTCACGATCGGCTTTCAGTGCTGCTTTATCAAAGCCTTTCCCACCTCCCAATGTCCCTATCAAATTTGACAAGGTTTTCTATAACGACCAAGGGAATTACAGCCCTGTCACTGGGAAATTTAACTGTAGTATTCCTGGGGCATATGTATTTTCCTACCACGTCACGGTGAGTGGCCGACCTGCTCGGATCAGCCTGGTGGCCTGGAATAAGAAGCAGTTCAAGTCCAGAGAAACGCTCTACGGCCACGAAATAGACCAGGCCTCTCTCCTCGTCATCCTGAAATTAAGGGCAGGGGACCAAGTCTGGCTGGAAGTTTCCAAAGATTGGAATGGAGTGTATGTCAGCGCTGAGGACGACAGCATTTTTACGGGGTTCCTTTTGTACCCAGAGGTAACTCCTGGAATGTCACCATAAACTTGTGTCTTAACACTAAAGTTTGGGGTCAGTGGAATAAGTCAGGTCACATAAAGTAATATTTTGAAAAAATAACTAATTATTTTTTTCATGAGTGTAAAACTAATACAGAAAAAATTATATCACCTAAAGTCAATTGTTATTGCTATTTTAAGGCATCACCTTTAAAAAAAGAATAATCTGTATTTGAGAGCATATGTCTGTTAACTTAGTAGATAGCTTTTTTTGTTTAGATTACAATGGCATTTTCTCAAGCCTTTTAAGTAATTAATATTTGTATACAAGAATATGAATGATATTTGTAATTAATAAATGTATTCTCACTATCTACTATATCCCATGTAAATGCGTGTAGCTCTTTTCTTTGTGAATGTGAGGCTAACAGCTGACACATCATGATGGACAGGTATCACTCAAAAGTTTCTAACTCTACTGGGAGGGTTGCTTTCCAATAAAATGGAACTATTCTCATATTAGTTTAATTCAGGGAGAATACACAGAAAGAAAGGTAATGCCTAGCTAAAACATCTTTAAAATTAATCAGTGTGTAAAGATTTGCTCATAAAACACCTGTATTATGTGGACTTATGTGTTGGGTAAAAGGTAAAAAGAAAGTTAATGAAGATGTTGCTCAATTCAATCATAGCAAAGACCCAGCCATTCATCAAATTATTGTGCTTAGAAAAACTGAATGTCCCCCCAAAGACTCAGGAGTAAAATTAGATCCTCACTGATCTAAAAATTGAGCCCTTTCTTCATGAAAGAACATTCATTTTAGATAAATTCTTTGGATTCATTATTATCATTTCCATAATTAATTCCTGTTATTCAGTGATAACACTGTTGGAGCAGGTGGGTATTTGGGAATTCACTTGCAATGTGAATATTTAATAACTGTGAATATAGAATAATTCAACAGCCTCATATTTTAAGAAGTGAATTTATTAAATCTGAATTGAATTTGGCTCAAGAAGGCATGTAGTTAGGCAGATTTGCAAATCCTGGTGAGTCAAATCAGGGAGTGGGTGATGGAGAACTGGGGACCTTTCTGGTTTTGTTCTGCCAGACAAACAAACTTTGACAAGCATCATTCACTTTCAAATTCTCAGATATATGTATCAAATATGTGTCCAGAGGAAAACCATTTCTGGAAGTTGTTGTTATGAGTTTGAGTTGCTGGGAAAAGGGTTGGTTCTGCATCAAACAAATGTTGGAAATGTTATCTTCTAGTGCTTCCTCTTGAAGATCCACAAAGCATGTTAGTGTAACCTGACATTCCCACAGAAAAGCAATATACTTTTGTTTTAGGTTTATCCAAGGATCCCATTTTTATTTTTAGTATAGGACTCATCAAGTAACATCCTGTGGAGCAGCGTTGTGTAGGATGCCTATCTTAGAAATGCGTTAGTTTCTTACCCAAGAATAACCCAGCAGGCTGGGGTAAGTTCGCTCTTGACATTTCCCACTTCCTTCAGCAGTTTTTCTCTGGTTCTCAACCTTCCTAATGCTGCGACCCTTTAATGCAGGTCCTCATGTTGTGGTGACCCCCAACCATAAAATTATTTTCCTTGCTACTTCATAACTGTAATTTTGTTACTGTTATGTCTTAGGCGACCTCTGTGAAAGGGTTGTTTGACCCTCAAAGGGGTCGCGACCCACAGGTTGAGAACTACTGGTTTAGCTTGTACTATTGCTTAGGGCTTCGCTTGTATTTGTCAGAGGGAGAATGAGATAACTCACATGGTGAGAACAGTGATGCTTGCACATAGAATTTTTCCTTTTCCATTTTGAGTATTGGGTATCAAAGACATTCAGAAACTTCAAGTTTTGTTTCTCTCTTTGTATGCTTATTGTGTGTATATTGGTGCTGTTTCCATCATTGGGTTGAAGGGATTTGGAGAGGCTGAGAGCCCATGAATTTAGGAAGATGGAAGAGAAAAACCACCTTGTGATGTAAAAGGCAGCTGGGCAGAGGCCCAGCCCGGGAGCAGCGATTTACACGGAGGATGTGTGACACTCCGCAGAGTCTAACACGGGTGTTTGTGGTCAACATTTTATAGGAAGTCTGAAGTTAAGGGCTTAGGGTTAGGATCCAGGATTGGTGGTTAAGTACTAACTTTTTCAGGGAGGAGGGGGGCGGCTCCAGGTTTCTTCTGTCACTGCTTGCTATGAGAGCGAAGTGGAACAAATGTGTTCCTCTTCGACTCTGTTATGGCTCCTGTCTTGCTGAAAGCACAGAATTAAGGAGTGGATCTCTCTCATCTCCAGCATTTGAATATAACCCCTACCTACCCCTACCCTAATGTCTGCCAAATATACAGACCTCTCCGCTGAATGCCCAGAGTGCTAAACCCATGAGAGTTAAACTGAAAATGACCAAACCCAGCTTCTGGAATTCCCCCACACTGCTCCTCCCAGACCCCGACTCCCAGAACGACCCTTCTTCCGCCGCGGCCAGACCAGAAGCCTGTCCTTTTACTTTCCCGTTCACCCTTAAATCCAACCTGCCAGGAAGCCCTTTTGATTCTTTCTTCAGAAGGGATCCAGAATTTGATGACTTCACACATGGCCACTGCCATGACCACAGTCAAGCCACCCTTACTTATTCCCTGAATTGTTTGTTGCAATAACCTTCAAACTGAATCTGCCTGAGATACAAAGGCTCTAGGGTTAAAATACAAATGGGATCCAACATTTCATATATTTAAATTTTTAAAATGTATGAATCAAGCTAACAAATAGTTATTTGAAATATTGTCTATCCTCCTACTTTAATGTAGGCTTTTATATTGAAAAAGGAAAAAATTTCTATGGGTTTTGTATGACTGACAGTAAACAAAATATCAAAGGTGACTGAATTACTACTATGCATGTCTGGGAGTTCTATTAATAAGCAGGTGATGTTTAGATGAGTAATAAGAAAAAGACATTAATTCATGATTTACTAGATATTTATCTTATAGACATTATTTTAAAAACTTAATCTCAGCAAAAGAGTGTATGTTTTTATAACTAAAATTTCTACATAGATTGCTCTATTGACAGTTTTTTTCTTTTTCTTTTTTTTTAAATCCTCACCCAAGGACGTTTTCCCATTTTTTTGTTCAGATAGAGTGGGAAGGAGAGAGAGGATGAGAGAGAGAGAAACATGGATGTGAAAGGGACACATCAAGTGGCTGCCACCGGCACAACCCAACCAGGGCCGGGGACAAACTGCAACTGAGGTACATGCCCTTAGCGGGAACCCAACCTGGGTCTCTCTGCACCGCAGGCTGACACTCTAACTGCTAAGCCAAACCGGCCAGGGCTATTGACAAATTCTTTCAAATTAGACCACTTTTGTTGAATCATTGTATTTCAACATTGTGTTTTAAAAATTCATTTCAATTTGGAGAAACTACTGCACCGAATCAGCAATCAGGTTTGGAAATGAACCACGAATTTTACTTATCAAGTTCAAATATTGTAATTGCGGTTGCATCGGATATAGTATCACTATTATAAACAATATTGCAAATTATTTAAATTTCATCATACAAACTATGATCACTTATATTGTCATTTTCATCATCTCTTCAAAGACGATTCTAAAATCTAGATCCATAATGAATTTTCAGTCTGGACCTGCATAAGCGCAAAGTTAGAGAGATATGAATTGTTTAATATGTTTAACTATTAAGTCTGCAACTGTTGTAAACACTGGGCAATCCATGAGTAGCCCAAGAACAAAGAGCTAGACACAATGGGAAGCGTGGAAGTGAACGCTCAGCACCACTGAGAGGCAATCCTTTGTCTACAGCATCTATGCTCTCCGAGAGGAAGTTGGTAAGTTAAATGGTACTTCTGGTAATTAAGCACACCCACTCTTCAAATCCTCCCCACACTCCAGAGCAGTGTCTATCTGCCATGTTTGCAGCAGTACAAGCCGGCTGGTCGTGACGGCACTCGGAGGCAAGCACCTGATTGATGCACACAGGGCAAGAGGCACGGAGAAGAGCTTCCCCAGGGCCTGAGAGGTGGTAGTTGGAGGAGTGTGTGGTTAGATTGCAGGCCGTGCTGCAGCAGAATTGAGTCCTATTTCTAATGAAGGTGCCCTGGATACCTTCATAAATTTACGTGTGTTTGTTTTACACAGGTCTTCCTAAAGCATGGGGCCTGGGGCAGGGAACCCTCTTGCTTGGGTCTAAAGGCAGTGTCACATACTTCTGCCCTGACTCCTTCAATCAAAACAATTCTGTTGAAAGGAAGTTGGATCATCTTACTGTTCAGCTCAAGGCCTCTTGAAGCTCCCATCTCATTCAGAGTAGGAGCCTCATCCTTACTGTGACCAGTGAGGCCCCATGTGACCTGGCCCCTGCTTCGCCCCTCAATTCATCTCCTGCACGCTTCTGCACGCTGCTCAGGGCTGTCCTCAGCACTGTTCCTCAAATCCACCAGCAAGTTTCCACTCGGGGCTTTGCATGTGCCATTCTACCTAAATGACTGTTACCAAAGTCACTGCGTAACTGACCCATTTCTCGCTCCCAAGCCTTTATTCGGTTATCACCTTTTCAAGAAGTGTTCTTTACTCAATTTTCCATTGCAGTCCCCATGCCCTGAACCTCTCCCCGGCTTTATTTTTCTCCACAGCACTCACCATCATGTAAAGTATCATATTTCACAGGTTGATCTTTGTTTTCTGTTCTCCCATTGCAAGGTAAGTTCCATGAGGCCAGGGGTTTTTATATGTTTATTGCTCGACCCCTACCCAGTGCCAGGACAACAAATATATGTTCAGTGAATAAAGATTGATAGGGTCCAAACTGATGTGGTAGTTGTAGGTCTTTTCATAAGGTGGTGCTCACAGATTATCTTTGCTTTTGATTTTTATCTTATTTTTAAATTTAATTAATTAATTTATTTTTGTTATAGATGTTTCTCCTTTTTCCCCCACTGATTCCCCCCCTCTCCCTCCCTGCCCTGTCCCCAGCTTTGTTGTCCATGTCCATTGTTTATGCATA